CCTACGTACCATCATTCCAACTGCCAGGATCCTGTTTCTCTAGGGCCACCCAAACTTTTCATGTTACAAATAGAGCAAGGCTATCAATTTAGCTGAATAAGTCAGTGACCTGCAGGATCAAGGTGTCTGTAGAAACCCTTCTACACCTCTGATCTTGACACTCATAGTTTCTGAATTTGTCTATCATGACAGCTATTAAAGCCCTTCACTCCAGGAAGCAGGTGACTCCAGAAGGCCAACCACAAGTGATATTTAGATATTTTACTACCACATGCCTTGGTCTTCTAGTTTTCCACCCCAAGGCCCAAATTTGAATTCAAAGTATCTCACATTTCCCTCAGGTTTATTATCTCCAACCCATTCTCTGGTATCAACTTCTCTCTCAGTTAGGGTTCTTTTGGGTTGCAAATAACTAACACTGGCCAAGTAAAGGAAATAATGAATAGACTGGAAGGACACTGGGTAGCCCAGAGAATCAAAGGAAAAACTAAACAGTTCTCAAGAAGGACAGTTACCAGAACAGCTCTATCTGTACAGGAACTATTAACAGTCAGTGCTACCACTGGAATGACTTCTGTGTGTCCTTCTGCTCAGGGAGCCCAATAGGCACCAGGCTCAGCCTTTGGTTGAGGTACAGGCAGGGCACCATGGCATTCCCACAAAACCGAGTAGTCTCCAGAAAGGGGAAGGGATTTTTTGCCTGGTAAAAAAACAGCAAAAACTGCCTAAGTAACAAAGCCAGCTCATGTGAAAGGAAGGTTAAAGATACAGGAGTTCTTAGGAAACCCCAAAGTGGGCAGTTCAGCCAGGATCCACAAGGTACTGGGGTGGGTGAAGCGCCAGAAGCCAAGCTTCCCTCCAGCTATATGGCCTTATTCCAGACCTGTTTGTTCATCAGCACACCCAGCCCCAACCTATGACCTCTCAGGTAGCCCTTAGTCTGAGTCTGACTGCACACTGGGAGCCCAAGAGGGCCAATCAGCTGAGACCTGGGAGGGGGGCGGGGATCAAATTTCATGGAATAAACATGGTGGCTGGGGCATGGTTACCTCTACAACTAACACACAGTGGAGGAATTCCTGAAGAGTTAAAGTGCTGGTCAGGCAACCCCAAATGACCTTCACTTAATTCCCTTCCTCTATTTCCTTTTGTAATATGCTCTTCAGGAAATCAATCTTAAAAGAACTGACCCTCTCACCCTGAACTATGCTGATACCCCTTACCATAGAAGGGCCATCAAAGCTGTGACCAAGAGATAACCATAATTCAATAGGCTTTCATTTTAATATAAATAAGTTAATTTCTAATACTATGAAAGAACCCACGACTCTGCCACTGTCAAATTCCAGAGTAGTTAGAATTAAGTGAAAACCACATTTTTATATCCTAAGTAGAATCCAATCATGTGACATGCAGATTAGAAGGGGTCAAGTGTATAACCACCTCCTTTGTGTCATGGAGTCAAGGACACAGCAATTCCAAATTGGGTATGATGCAAACCAGTTGTAGCCAATAGTGATGCAGTTAGCAACCTGGCCAAAAATCTCTGATCATAATGGAATTACAGGCATGTTTAAAAATTACCTCCCAATTTACCTGGGATGGTAACCTACCAAACTGCATGAGATGTTTCGGGTGGTAAAGTCAGGTTAAAATAAGGGAAATTACTCCGCTGAAAACTTTTAACCTCAAGAGTTAGGAATAGACACTTTAAAGAGATTCTAGGGGCACCTGGGTGGCTCAGTCAGTTAAGCATTTGCTTTTGGCTCAGGTCATGATCTCAGGGTCCTGGGATTGAGCCCCACATGGGGCTCCCTGCTCAGTGGGGAGCCTGCTTCTTTCTCCCTCTGCCGATGCCTGATGCTTCCCCTGCTTGTGCGCTCTGTCAGATAAATAAAATCTTAAAAAATAATAATAATAAAGAGATTCTAAACCATAGTATTAACATTTTTATGTTAAGGGATCACTCTTGTTTGTAGTTTTTTTGCTTGAATCTCACATTTGAGATTAAAAATTAAAATGCTGACTCAAGTAACTGAAATATACTTCTGTTTATTATCAAGTTTAAAAACACTATTGGAATATATAGAAGTGCAGTTAAAAATGTGGAATCCTATAGTATTAAGATATCTCTTAGAAGGAATTGTTGAAATAAATACTTAAAAATGTACTAAGACTCGTAAGCCAAACTTAAAGGCCTAAGGAGACACTAAGCTTTTGGATTTCTAATTGTAACAAAAAACTGCATTTACCAACCCCAAACACTTAAAATGGACAAAAGAAGAGACTGACAAATATCTTATTTTTAACTTTATTTTTATTGTTGACACTATTACAGATAGATAGAACAACCACAACCATATTATCAAACCAAAAACCTGTGCACAGAAACAAGATGAAGAAAATATATCAAGATGTTAACCACAGTCTTTGGATGGTGAAAATATGGGCGAGTTTCTCTTCTACATTTCTGCAACTTCAAAGTTTCTATAATGAACACATACAGTGTTTATAATGGAAATATATGCGATAAAGGTGGATTACCAAAACACCCTGATAAAGACCATTTGAGGAAACCAAGATAAAATATTTAACCATAATCCCACAACAACCACATAACTATTTAACTGTCTTCCATATTTCTTCCCATCTTTGATTCTATATATATTTATCATTAACACCCTAATTATCATAGACTGGTGCACAGATCAAGATGTTAACAGCAATTGTTGCTGGGTGTTGGGAAATGGGTGAATTTCTTTTCTTCTAGTTTACTGAATTTTCCAAAGTTTGCTATGAGTATGTATTATATTTGTAATGGAGAAATACATACATAAGATTTAATACCAAAACACCAAAGGTCATTCAAGGAATTTGAGACAATATATTTAACCATAATCCCACAATGACAACACTATTTTAATTATTTTCCATATTTTTTTTTCATTTTAGACTTTATGCATACATATTTAACACCATTATAATCACAAGCTTGTGCACTAAAACAAGATGGAGGAAATAGATCAAGATGTTAACAGTAGTTGTTGTGTGTTGGGAATATGGGTGACTTTTTTCTCTTTTCTCATTTAGTGTATTTTCCAATTTTTCCTCTGGGTATGTATTATGCTTGTAATGTAAACAAACATAATAAACTTTGTTAGCAGAACACTATTATAAGGAACATTTGAAGACATTAAGATGAAAGTATTTAACCATAATTCCACAAAGATAACATAACAGCTATTTTGAATACACATTTTGACAGTTATAATCATAAACCTGTGCACAGAAACAAGAATAAACGAGATGTTGAAGAGTATATCTGTCTTTGGATGGTTGGAATATGAATTTTTTTCCTCCACTTTTCTGTATTTTCCAAGTGTCTGATAATGAGTTCAAATTATGTTCACAATGGAAACGTGATTATAAACTTTTTAGTAACACTACCATAAAGAACATTCAAAGAATTTAAGAAAATAATGCTCAACTATAAGCCTACATCAACAACAACAACACAACAGCTTTTGACTATAAGCATACATTTTTAATCAGTTATAACTGTAGTATAAATATAATTCTGTGTCCTGCTTTTTCCACTCAATATTCCGTAAATATATTTCCATGTTGCTACATAACTCTTCATGATTATCATTTTTAAACAGCTGCATGACAGTCCATGGATACCTTCATGTAATCATTCTCGTACTGTTTGGCATTTATGTTGTTCCTAGTTTTTCACTAACCTAAGGTTGGAATGGGCACCCTGATGTTTGGCAAGTTGTTTAATACTGCCAACAGTGATAAACCCAAATTCACCCCAATAACATCAATGCTGGTTCCCATCTAAAGGGTCCTCCTGTAATGTGAGGCCTCAATGCTCCTTGAATGTCCATTCCAACCTCAGGTCTTTCTATGCAGCTGGCCCTCACCTACACCGAAAAGGCCTCTTCTTAACTGCCCAGGACATCCTGCTCAATTCATTCCTACCAACCTGGTCTTCTAAGCCTTGCTTCCCATATTTCCTTCTGTCTGCTTCCTAGCCTCCTAGATCTGGTGATATATTAGGACTCCCTTCTTTGGCTTCCTCATTTCTGCTTCATGCTTTCAACACTACAACCTCCCTCGACTTTGGCATTCCCTGCAGCTCTAACATACACTCTCCAAGCCCCAACCATGCGGATCTAGGAGAGTGAGATTTAGACACATTCCCCCAGCAGGTATATTAATTTTGCTTGCTCAAATTATCTGCTGTTATCTTTTGCTCACTTAATCTACAGATCCACTTAAATTTTTTTTTTTAATTTTTTTTTTCCAGCCAACTCAAAGCCAAAAAATTTAATAGTCATTATGCAAGGGGAGGGGAAGCAAAAGGAGCACAGGTGGTCCACAGAACAGGACACAGGAAACCTCAAGCTATGAGGTCAATTTGTGATTAAGTGGAAAACTGAGGTGATCGGACAAACATACACTAATGAATAGCTCGGAAATACTTAGAAGGGCTGAAAGAGGGAGGAACAGATGGTAAGGAAACAAATTAAGGCTGCTGGGGAACCTGAGTCCATGTTAAGCTTAAGTTGACTGTAAAGAAAGCTTTTTTTAATTATTTTTAAAATGCAAGTTAGACATGGGGTGGAGGGTCAGACAGGTGAAGACGAGAATTAAGTGATAGAAAGCTCTAAGGATACTAGCTCCTGGGCACCCAGGGTGCAAACTGATTTGTGGCCGTATAATACTAATGAAGCCACGCTGCTACTTGTCACTTAAGGCAGGAAGCACACAAAGGAAGTGACGGAAATTGTAAGCCTGCATCCTTATTTACAATATGAAAGCCTCTCCCTCTGGTTCTCAATCATCAGTAGGCACTACTGTCATCTAGTGATGGTTGCAACCCACTCTTTAAAGGCAAAAGCATAAGATTTATAGGGAAAAGCTTCAGCTTTTATAAATTCACTATCAAACACATCAAGTTGGTTAAAAAAAAAAAACTCGTAATATTTTTGCATGAGAATCACTGCAAGGTACAACGTGGCAACCAACCACTCTGGGTCACAAAAGGCCAATCCACATATTGTAAAGGCTTACACAACATTAGGTTCCAAAGTGTTGGTGTAGACAAAAAGGCTGAAAAGAAGTTCCAAGTACTTCTCTTTTCAAACAGCAAAGAATAAAAGACATTTTACCTTTCATGCTTACGCTTTTACAGGAATACTTAAGGGTAAGGAACAATACACAATTACTCAAAACGATACTGATGGGGTTCAAATAATGCACAATAAGTCTTTCTCAGAATCTAAGATACTTAGAAATATATTCTAATTTGTTGCTCTCTTCCTCCTCCAAAAAAGAAAAAAAAAAAATCAGAGTACCAAGTAAGGTACTAATGCACAGTAAACTGTAACTGTATATCATATCAAATCCAAATATATGTGATTACTGTTTTGCTATGATATGCTATTTTATATACATTGCAGGGATCATTATATATAGGTTATAGAAGTGTCATTTACATTTGACTGGGCAATTTCTGTAATCTCAAAAACTTCTAGGAATTTCCCTCAATAGATTACTCAGATGAAAGGTATGTGCTATAGCTTTCCCACATGCATACACTGATGTGTGATGGAGAAGAGCTAAAACCAAAGGAGTTTCCACCTTCGGTCTCCTTTTAGTCTGAGTTGTCTGATATTAAAAGTCAGGTGTGTACATGCCAAGGTAAGTTTTATTCTGACATTATTATGGGTCGAAGTCTCTGGTTTAGTAGGGGTCAAGTTCTAAATGAAGGTTTTCTAAACTTTATACTTGTGTTCTCAGCCGGTATGAGTATTCTGGTGTCTAGCAAGGGAAAGGCGATCACTGAAAAGCTGCCCACAGACATCACATTTGAAGTACTTGTCATCAGCCCTGTCGTTGTCACTAGTGCTGGTGCTGGCATGTTCAGTGTAGTGTGAGCTTTCCCCATAGACATTTCCAGGCTCAAATATTATCACCCTGGCATGGGTTTTCAGGTGCTCACCATAGGCTGAGTTGGAAGTGAAGGTTTCTCCACATTCCCTACAGTCATAGTATGGTTCTTCAACCTGAATCTCTTGATCTTCACCTTCTTCTTCTGGGTCTTCGATCCCTGCCCCATCTGGCTCATCAGCATCTCCTTCTGGCTCTTCAGCCTTTCCCTCTGGCTCTTCAGCTCTTTCTTCTGGGTCTTCTATCCCTGCACCATCTGGTTCATCAGCATCTCCATTGGGCTGTTCAGCCTCTCCGTTGGGCTGTTCAGCCTCCCCATTTGGCTCTGCAGCCTCCCCATCTGGCCCTTCGGCCTCTCCATTGGGCTCAGCAGCCTCCACATTAGGCTCAGCAGCCTCCACCTCTGGTTCAGCAGCCTCCACCTCTGGCTCAGCAGCTTCTACGTTTGATCCCTGGATCCGAAGAACTTCTCGTGGAACAAGGACATTGGCTTCAACCTCCTGGGCTCCTTCTTCTTCTTCCTCTTCAAGATGAAGCTTCTGATGTTTAGTGAGAACTGTGTTATGAATAAAGGACTTCCCACAGTCCTTGCATTCATAGAATGGTGAATCTCTTTTAGGGGGCTCAGTAAGAAATGAGGTGTGAACGAAGGAGGCCCCATAATCATAGGGCTCATCTTTCTCATGAATTCTCATGTGCTCCCTAAGGTCTGACTGATTGAGGAAGGATTCTCCACATGTTTTACATTCATAGTGTTTCTCTTCGGTTTGACTTCTCTGAAACTCAGTAAGGGCTAAGCCTGGACTGACTGCATCTTCACTTCCCTGGCCCTGCTCTGGTAAATCCTCTCCAGTATGAATTCTCATATGTTCACTAAGGACAGAGCCATGAATGAAGTCTTGTCCACACACGTGGCATTGAAGGGATGTTCCTGCAGGAGGATTCTTCTGTGGGGCACGAGGCCTCCGTGGGTTAAGGACCAAGGGTTGCATAAAAGGCTCCTCATACCTTCTATGGCCAAAGAATTGATCTTGCTCATGGATTTTCTGATGCTCAAAAAGGAATGAGCTATGAACAAAAGATTCCCCACATGCAGGGCATTCATAGAGCTGCTCTCCAATATAATCTTTCTGATATTCACTGACAGAATGGGTATGGATTACAGAATGCGTGTACTCACGACTGTCAATGAGATACTCTCTGCCATGAACCTTCTGATGATCCTTAAGGTCTGCGCGATCTGCAAAGCCCAGCCCACAGTCCTTACATCCATAGATTGTGTCTTCAGGCTCATCCTGCTCGTCCTGCTCGTCCTGCTCATCTGGCTCATCCTGCCGAGGCTCTTCCTGCCGAGGCTCTACCTGCCGAGGCCCATCAAGGCCTATGCCCTGAATAACAGAGTTTCCAAAGAGCTTCCGACCGTGGAATTCTTCTCGGGCATAGATTTTCTGATGTGCACCAAGCTCTTCAATGGTGGCAAAGCATTCCCCACACTCCTTACATTTGTTGCGCACTTGCTGTTCAGCATAACTCGTCTGTGCTTGCTCTTCAGCGTAACTCATCAGTGATGGTGGTTTAGTGTAACTCATCTGTGGTGGTGGTTTAGTGTAACTCATCTGTGGTGGTTGTTTAGTGTAACTCATCTGCATTGGGTGTTCAGAGTAACTTATCTGCACTGGGTGGGCAATGTAATTTGTCTGCGCTGGTTGTTTAGCATAATTCGCCTGCACTGCTTGTTTAGTATAACTCGCCTGCGCTGGTTGTTTAGTGTAACTCGCCTGTGCTGGTTGTTTAATGTAACTCGCCTGTGCTGGCTGTTCAGAGTATCTCATCTGCCCTGGCTGTTCAGCATAACTTGTCTGTGCTTGTTCAGCATAACTTGTCTGGGGGTCAGTAGAGGCTAAGCTGCGAATTACAGATCGTTCATAGTTTTTACTTCCAGAGGGCTTCTTTCTATCGTGAATCTTCTGATGCTCAGTGAGGTCGGAGCTACGAACAAAGGATTCTCCACACTCTGGACATTCATAGAATTTCTCTCTAGGGCGAAATGTTTGAGGTTCGCCAAAACGTAGGGAGTGAATTACAGAGGTCTCATAGTTCCTACGCTCAATGTTTTTTTTCTTAGCACGAGCCTTCTGATGTTCCCGGACATTTGAGCTGGGAACAGACGATTCACTGGACCCGGGACTAGTAAGACTTTTCTGAGGTTCGATACGGGATACACTTTGTATAACGGAGTCCTTGTAGTTGTTGCTCTTAGCCCCTTCATAAGGGTTCTCTCTGGCAGGAATTTTCTGTTGCTTATCACGAAGGTCTGAGATGTAAGTAGAGGATTCTCCCTTTTCATCACATTCAACGACTTCATTTCCATTGTAATTTTTGGGAGGTTTGAAAGCAGCTAAGCTATGGATAACAGACCTCTCATATTTCTTTCCTTCGGAATTCTCTCCAGCATGGACTTTCTGATGTTCGATAACACCTGAGGTCTGGGTAGACTCTGCAATCACTTGTGATTTACTGGGCCCCACTGCACTGTGACTTTTCTGAGCTTTAGCAAAGGCTAAGCTATGAATAACAGACCTCTCATATGGTTTCTTCTCACAGGCATTTTCTTTAGTAGGAATCTTCTGGTTGTCATCAGGGTTAGAGCTGATGGTGAACATCTTCTCGTCCTCCTCATTTTCAGGTGGTCTTGTTATAGTATGACTCTTCTGAGATTCAGTGAAGGGCACGCTATGAATGACAGACTTCTCGTACCCTCTGCCTTCATAGAGGTTCTTTCGAGAATGAATTTTCTGATGCTCACTGAGGTCCGAGCTTTGCCTAAAGGCATCCCCACCATCTTTAAAGTCATAGAGCTTCTCTTTTGAGTAAGATTTCTGGCGCCTTTTAAGGGACTGACCAGGAATAAAGGTTTCCTCACACATTTTACCCTTATTTTCAAATAGGTTTCCTCTAGTATGGATCTTCTGATGTTCTTTCAGAGATGAGCTATGATGGAAGGTCTCCCCGCACACCTTACATTCATACATTTTCTCTTTACCATACATTTTCTGAACCTCATTAAGGGGTGGGCTGGGTTTAAAGGCTTCCCCACGCTCATTATCTTTGTCATCTCTACCATGGGTTTTCTGGTGGTCAATCAGGGCAGAACTATGAAGGAAGGTTTCCTTACACACCTTACATTCATAGAATTTATCCTTCCCATATATTTTCTGAAGCTCACTGAAGGTTGGGCTAGGCATGAAGGGCTCCTCATACTCCTCATCATTACATTCTGCAAGATGCTCTCTAGCATGAATTTTCCGATGTTCGGCAAGAGCGGCACTCTTATTGAAGGTTTCCCCACACTCTTTACATTCAAAGCGTTTCCCCCCAGCCTGACTTTTCTGAACCTCACTGACAGCCACACTATGAATAAACGATTCACCATACTCATAGAGATTCTCTCTAGTATGCATGATCTGATGTTCGACAAATTCTGAAATCACACTGAAAGACCTCCCACACTCATCACACACATAAGGCATTGCCCCAAAATCGAGTGGGTGCGACTCAGTGAAGGAGGGGGCACTAAGGCTGCTCATGCTCATGGCTTTTCTCATTTCACTACATTCAAAAGGTCTCTTCCTTGCATAGCCTTTCTGCTCATGAACTGAGCCCTTCCCATCTGTGTCAAACTGATAGCGCCTTTTTCTTTCAAGAACTCTCTTTTTGGAAACAAGACTCGAGTTAAAATTATAGCTTCCCCCAAAGGCATTCCCTTCATAGCCCCTCTCCTGAATCACCGACTCCCTCTTGTTGAATGAAACTTCTTTCCAATCATTGTCTGGTCTTCTGGGGAATCTCTGTGACCGATCATTAGATTCCCTGGCCCGTCCCGATTTGGAGTTACGTGAAACATCCTTGATGAATTTTTCCATTATCACCCCGTGGGAAGATTCATCTTCACAAATTCCCCGCCGATGGGTCGACTTTTTGGTTTCAGGCATGGTTTTCAGACCTTAAAAGAAACCCCAAATGTAAATACTCCCTAGTCCCTGTACGTGTGCGAAGTAACAGTGGGACTTCTGGGATGATGGTGTGAATATAAAATGTAAGAGATTTACCAGTATGTACATACAGCTCCCATCTCACTACCTAGTATAGCTCCCACCTCACTATCTAAAGTGGCCACTAGCTGCGATCTGCCTAGTGCTTACCTCGACTGGTGCTCGGGTAGGCACTACTTCTCTTTGACCTCGATGAATGGCCTTGTGTCATGTGGGAGTGGCCATCGTCTTCGGCAAGCTGAACCCCTGTTCACAAGAATAATATGATTTATCACTTATATAGCTATAGTCAAGTTAGGTACAAGACTCATCACCATAAAATGGTGCCTACCTCCCTACAATCCACTAAACAGGAGGTAGCCCATACCCAACTCCTTGAACGTCTTCTATGTGCAGTCCCAAATCCTTACTGTCCACTTCTCAGCCCATTCTAGCCTGAATTTTAATTAATTCTCCTGACTCCACCTAGAAATCTGTACAGAGACCACCTGTGTCCTTAAATCCAGTGCATCCTTTTCAGTCTTCACCCTTCTGTAACCACCTTTTAAATCCTGACATCCTCTTTTTCACTGGCTTCCATGGTTCTCTTCTTCCTTGACTCTTTTCTCCAGCTGTTCTCTGAACTCCACTGCCTTGCACAGTCTCTCTTCCCAGCATCAGACCTGCATAGCCAACTGCCTGCTATGACTGGAGCTAGATGACTTCGAGGATGGTCCAAACGGGAACTCAGGATCCCATTCTACATGTGTATTTGAAAATCTTCACTGCCACCTCTCTAGAAAAAAGTACCAACTCTTGTGGCAAGAGACATCTCCCTATTCTCTTCCACCTTGTACAAATACACTCTTCACCCAAAGCCAGAATGATTTCTCAAAAATAGAAATCTCATCATTTACTTCTCTCCTTGAAATATTTCAAAGGCTTCTTATTATCCTTAAAGTCCAAATATATTAACATCAACTCTGATATCCCGCAGCTTTAAAAATAAGGTGACAAAAAGCTTCAATGACTAGGTCTGGAGTAACTGACAGAAGCAGCTGCTTACCCAGAGAGAGCAGCTTCCTATAGTTCTCCATGTTGTCCTGAATCGGGTTCTGAGGCTTCCTGTCCTCAGTCAGGTTCACAACGTCCTGGTATGACACTGCATCCTAAAATACCAAACACAGACCTCTCAATGGAGTCTTTCCACGGGCACCCAAGAGAGAAGAATTCTGGCAACATGGGCGCTACACACACAAAGATACGTAGAAAGTGCTCACAGTGTTTGGGGTTCTGAGTGATCCAAGGCAAGTTTTACTACGGACCTACTTTGTACCTACCTTGGCGCTATACTCTGAGGAAGATCCAAAAGACGTATGACACATATTCCTTGCCCTCATGCAGCTTATAATTTGGTTGGAGAGAAAAGACTCATGAAACAATTAGAGAACAATAAACAATAAAGTGGGGTACAGATAATCAGTGCTAAATAGGTTTGGTAGAGGGACAGCTCAGGGTTTTGTAGAAGGACTTGGGTGGGACCTTAAGTGGTAAGACTTTGACACAGAGAAAAGGGATTGGTGGGAGAGCTTCAACGGGCCAAACACCAATTATGTGTGGCACATGCAAGGACAGAAGGAAAATGTGTTTCAGCAGACATCTGGTCAGGAACTGTGACTTAAGCCTCCCTCCATGGTCCCACTGTGTCCTGTGCTCACCTTTACTGTACAACATGGATACATGGTGGGCTCTTCTAGGTGTGGACAAGTTCCAAATAACCCAGATATAACTTTAAGTACTGAATGCCTCCATTTTATGCCTCCATTTTTTAAGCCTCTTCCACTTTAACGGCTACGTCTCTAAAAATAATTTTAAAATTCCCTGCATTACTCAGAAGAGTCTTTTATGCAGGATCTTACAGGACCTTTTCTTACTGTGCAATAGAATGTCACTGGTCTCAGGGAAGCATGGTCCCAGGGAGTACCACACCAAGGCCTGGAGACAGACTTAAGATGGACACAGCACCATGGGAAGCCCGCAGGTTTTGGAGCCAGAGAAAACTCAAGGGTCAAAGGAAAACTGTACCATTTATGAGCCATGCAACCTTGGGAACAACCTTGGGAACTTTCTGAGCCTCAGGTTCTTCATCTGTAAAATGGAGAGTTAAGCATCAACCTGCCTTGCAATATTGTGGGTGAGGATTTTCTGCAATGTGATGTGTTGTTTAAACATCAAGAAAAACTACATAAAGAAAATGTAAATCATTAAATGACTATGTAAAGATATTTTGATATTAAATTTATTACACTTCCTTTCTGGGAAGTGGCATTATAGCCATGTGAAATGTAGCAAAAAAAAAAGTGCATGAATTAGGTATATATCTCCTATGGAGAAAGAGAAACAGGCAAATACACTGGGAATTAAGAGGGAAGCTCATTTATGCAACTGCACAACATCCAGTGATAAAAAGCAAAAACCACAACCAAAACTAAGCAGAGCTTCAAAAATGAAATTCTTTCTAGGTCCAGGCTGAGAATTCCTAGAACAATGAACAAGCACTGCAAACTTGGTACAACTCCCACCCCATAAAGCTAACTTGCATTGTTTTTGCTGGGTGCCAATCTCCTGTCCGACAGCAAGTTCAAGAGCAAAAGCCATGCTATGCTCAGCTTTGTGACAGTGCTTCCTAAGTCCCAACACCGGTTTATTATACTATGAAGGAAAGTATGGGTGGGAACATAGATGCATTTTGGGTAAGAGGAAGGAAACCAGGGCTTCTAACTTGGGGGATTAGGAGAGAAAGAGATGCGGTTAAGAACTTGGGGGGCCCAGGGAATCAGAAGGGTCACCACCCCTGGTGTTGACAGACCCCCAAGGACAATGGCAAAAAGGAATGACTGTTTTTCATACTCTTCTCTCCATTTGCCTGAGTAAAATAAATGCGTGTTAAATTTTGAACTACATTGTTCCTACGAAAGAAAAATGATGCTCTGATTTCAAATGAAGTTAATCTATGTAAGTGGGCTTCTCTAAAGCAGTTGGTCACTTTGCATCTGTAACCAAAATGGCTTCTAAATTTGCACAAGCCGCAATCAAGTTCCACTTGAATGGGCGCCACCCAGAGAGCATCGTGGCACCACTTCACTTTCACGGCAGGACCCACACACATAAGTGATTCAGAGATTTACACACAATGCTAGAAGATGATGAGGATTTTCTGCTGTGTATACCCTCAAGATACAATTTACATCTGCTGCAGCTGCTGTTCCTACCACACTGAGTTAGTAGCAATCAGTGGCTTCTAAACTTTTAGATGACACGGACATGGAGACAACTCTTCTCAGTGTCAAGGAAGGGCATTTTTTTTTTTAAAGTAGGCTCCACACCCAGCATGGAGCCCAACTCGGGGACTGAACTTAAGACCCTGAGATCAAGCCCTGAGCTGAAATCAAGAGCGGGACTCTTCACCAACTCTGCCATCCAGGCGCCCCTCAAGGAAGGGCATTTAAAAAGCAAAGTAAGACAAAAGCCAATTACAAATCTCCTATCATCTTCATTTCATAAGAGTATTCTAACATCCCCAAAATAAGGACACTGAAATTTTTCATTTCCCCACATATCAGTGAAAACTTAGTTACCGTCTGGCATAGCAGTGCTCAGGAGCCACTGATACTCATCACAGACCATCTTCGTGGGTGGCAAATGCATATCAGTGAGATTTTTTTTTTTCAAAATCAAGTTTAAGAAAGAGTCTATGATTTAGTATTTTGTCTAGATTACTACAATTTTGGTCACTTTGGTTTCTTCAACTAAGGCATCAAAATTAGTGACAAACTAAGTGTGTCACAAACTTAGATTGTTTCCCTGGCACAAGGACATTTGGGCTGGGGGAACTGAGTCACCTCTGACCCCACCCACCTTCTTCCACATCCCTTCAGCTGCTGCAGGAGCTCTGCTTTCAAGATCTGGACACTACCCATCCTTCTCATACATACCTGTGGATCCTTGCTTGCCTTCAGGACAGAGGACAAATGACAGACCTCTCAGGGTAGGATACAAAGCCCTCCGTCAGCTGATCCCAACTCATAAATCTCACTGCAGGCACCATTAGTAATATATCTCAGTGAACTGGGGTAGACCTGAGCTCTCTGCTTGGCTACAGGACACCGGTGACCAGACCTACCCATGCCTCAGGCTGTCTTGCGTCTCTTGCCCTCTGTGTTCTGGCCAACCTGGCCTTTGTTCGGTTCCCGCACTGGGGCCTTCGCCTGGGATCTCCTGACCCCGACACTTCACCTAACCAACTGTTCCTGTCCTTCAGATGTCAAATGTTACTGCCTTCAAGATATCTCCTATCCAAACCAAGACTCCCATGACAATTTCCTGTTATAACTCCCAATTTTTCCTTAACAGCACTCTGTATAATAAGCAGTCACATATGGTATTTATATGGAAATTTATTTGTGGGATTGTTGAATGCCCTTCTCTGTTGTAAGGCTCAAAGTTTCCAGGGCATCCAGGGACCTTAATTATCTCAGTCACTACTGTACTCCCTGACCTGGGGGGACGTCCTTAATAGTAAGAGGAGATGCAGGCTCCATGCACTCAGCTACCCCCCTTCCTCTCAAGCCCTTTACAATGCCATGTTATAAGTGACCCTGCTCCTTAAAGGTCACCTCAAATCCCGAGTCCTTTCTCCCTTCACCAACTTCCCCAGCACACTGCCTCTTACAATTACTGCCATTAACAGCTGAGAGGTAGGCTGTGCCTACCACATGCCAGGCATCACATTAAGCACTTCACATATATATATTGCACTCACTCCTCCCAGCAGCCCTGCTGAGCCAATCGCCACATCCATCCTGCAGAGGAGGAAACTGAGGTTCAGCTTGCTTAAGTAAGTGGTCCAAGGCTGCACACCCAACAGGTGGCAGAGCTGGGCTTCAAACCCAGCTCTCGTTGGCTCCAGAGCCTCTGCTCTCACTTGCCAGTCTGCTGTATGGTTTTGCCACTTCCCTGGCTCCCCACAGTGGGTCAGCCAGAAAGATCTCCAGAATAGTTCTGTTTCCCTGGCCCAACAGAGAACAACCGACGTGACCAAAGCACAACTCAGATGCTGAGTGGAAAACCCTCTATGTGGATAAATGAGAAAACAGGCAGGAGTCACCCCAACCACTTGCCACCTCTGGGGACAGGCCTGGGCTCCTTGCAGAGAGTAACTGCCCCCTCCCTACACCCAGCTGGGATTCTAGGGAGATGAACACACCCTCTTGGGAAAGAAAGGCATCTCTGCCATGAAAAGAAGATGGCCTTTCCAGAAAGAGAGGAGACCTAAGCATACCTGGGATCTTGACTCATAATCCATCACGGAGTCCCTACGCTTGCGCTCTCTTTCCACTGCAAAAGTTGTTTTCTCCATCAGAGGAAGCGAAAGATCCCGTTGAGGAAGTCCTGGGAAGAGAAAAGGCATCGTGAAGGAACGAGCCCCATCTAACCCTACGTGCTCATCAGGGACGTCAGAGCGTGTGACTTACTGTTTCTGGGATTCCTGCTGTATGGCCAGCGGTCTCGAGACTCCAGGTCTCTGCTTCTGCCCCTCCGCTCCCGCTCCCAATGCAGCTCCCAGCCCCGATTCCGCTCCCGCTCCCGGCCCCAGTCCTGGTCCCATTCCCGGTCCCGGTCACCTGAGAAAGCCAGACATTCAAGGAGCTGACAAAATGCCCTGACACGCGTGTTCTCCCTTCATGTGCACACATACCATTTGGAAAAGGAACACTATTCTTGCTCCTCCCTTGAGGAAATGGATCCCACACTGAGGTCCCCAGACGCCTAAGCATGCTCTGGGCTCTTCCTATTACCCTAGACCTGGAACACCCTTTCTGGAGGCTTTGCTTGAGTGGGGCATATGCTGCAGAGCAAGTTCCGAAGGTTGGTTTAGAGGTTGGCTTCCCTTCAAACCCTTCTGTTGGTTCTCCAGTTCCTACATAGTCAAGCCCACACTCAGGACCATGACTTCAGACCCTCTACTATTGGGCTGACGCCTGACAATCTTAATGGACACATGACGCTACTCCAAAGAAACAAAAAACATGCCCTCTCCAAAAGCAAACCTCCTTTTTAAAAAGTTCACTGAAGAACCTTTAACATATAAAATAACTTTTAGAGACAAAGTAGTAGTGAACTTTGCCCCTCGTGGGGAGGCTGTGGGCATATCTTCAAACAGCCTGCTGCAAATTTCCAACAGCTTTAAATACTATCTCATTATTTAAAAAGAAAATTGTAGGGGCGCCTGGGTGGCTCAGTCAGTTGAGCGACTGCTTTCGGCTCAGGTCGTGATCCCAGGGTCCTGGGATCGAGCCCTGCATCGGGCTCCCTGCTCAGCCGGTAAGTGTTTCTCCCTCTCTCTCCTCTTACTCACTCTCTCAGATAAATGAATATAATCTTTAAAAAAAAAAAAGAAAATTGTATTTCATGCCATATACTGGTGTCTTCTTTGATATTAAAAATGTCTCATTATGTCATCAATTAATTTACTTCCCTCAGATCTGTGAGTAGCTGCAGTTGCCCTGGGGAAGGTGCTGCTGTCTTCACTGAAGGCTTCATGCCCACCGTGCACTTTTATGCCATGCAGCAGGCTTGGTGAAAGGGGCAGCTAGGCTGAAGTCTGGAAGCATGCCCCAATGGGGGGCATAACCGGACAGGGTTACTACTCACTGCAGAAAGAAGAGGCGGAGCGTGGTGGCGGGGACTCTGCTCCCTTCCGGCTCATGCTGTCTTCGCTGCGGAGGTCACTGTTGCTGTCGTCTGAGAGGACACCAGACACTGACTTAATGCTTTATCACGTCTTGCCTGTGTTCTCGAAACAGCTCCCCCCGTGGAGTCGGCCCTTGCCCCTACTGCACCAGCCGCACCTCCACAGGAAGCTGGAGTGATCAGATCCTCTCACTCCTCAGCCTCCTCCTGCTCCTGGGCCAGCAAGCGGCTGCAACTGCTCCCCCACCTCACCCTTAAACAGCGGCCACCGACAGCTTCCTGGGGTAACACACCCTCTGTTTCACAAAAGGGAGCCTGGACCAGGGTTGTGAGGCCCACAGAGGCTCACCAGTTCCTCATGGAGGCCCTCAATGAAGTGTTGCTTTTCCTTCCCCCACCACCCTAGGGTGGTGGTTCTTAACCAGGGCATTCTACTCCCCAGGTGACATTTGTCAACATCATGTTGTGATTGTCACAGCTGGGGAGGGAGCGCCACTGGTATCCTGTGGTAGAGAGGGACCAGAAGTGTCACTGAATGTCCCACACCAAGCCAGCCCCCCACACGAAAGAATGATCCAGCCTCGAACACCAACAATGCTGAGGCCGCAAACCCCAGGGAGCTCACAGCTCCCCGACGGCCTTCACCACGCTTCTATAAAGTCTCACCTCCTGGCTCATACATTCCCTTGTAATTTTCCAGCAGAGTAACTAGCTTCTCACAGTTCTCTGGCTTTTTTGCCCGCACCCAAGGCTTTATCTTTTCTGGAAGGATGGTCAGGTACTGCTCAAGGACCAAGAGCTCGATAATCTCCTCCTTGGTGCGAGTCTCCGGCTGCAACCAATCGAGGCAGAGGTTTCGGAGTTTGAACAGCGTCTTCCGAGGCCCAACAAATTCCACGTAGAGGAAATTCCGAAACCTCTGATGAAAGAATTCAGGGTCAGTTGCACCTTCTCTTATGGTGGCATCCGGCTCCTTATTCAAGTCACTGTCTAGCTCATACAGATCTGGGGCCCAAGACTTCTTGGGTTTGGTGGCAGACAAGTACTTTGGAGGCAGCATTTTTCTAAGTAAAATTTTCACTGGAGGAACCAAACATGAGTCAACAGGAAAGACGCAGCAGCCTGTGACAGTCAGTACTCTGGGACCTGTAGATCGTAAGGAGATATACACATGTCCCAGAAGTTGAGGATCAGGCAGCAATATGGGGCTGCCCTACAAGGGGCATCAACAATGCTTTGTGAATAGGCCAAGGGGGCAGAAATGCACAAACCCACAATACACAGACACACACACATACACACAGCACACAAAGTTGGCCTCACACGGGAGCTACAAGCATGACCTCTGGGCACCACTAAGACCTGTTTGAGAGTTAGCTCTGCTACTAGCTGGTTTTGTGACCGTGGGCAACTATTCAATGTCCTGGAGTGGAGTCTGTCCCCTTAACTACACAAGGGGAACAAAAGCCCTCAGCCCTTTTAAAACTGTGAGATTAAATAAGTTAATATTCCTAAAGGCCCAACTTTCCAATGTCCACAAGTGGGAAATGCTCAAGGTGCTAGCCATTACTGTAACTGGAGGTCAATTTTTTTCTCAGCAAAAATGGAAAAGGGGGTACAAGGGAACGAGGGCCAAACCTGCCATTTCTGATTATTTCTGAACATCTCCATCATTGCCAAAGGTTCTACTGGCCAGAGTGGCAGAGTTTGCAGGTATGCTCAGGACCCCTTCCCTCAGCACTGCACATGCTTCTGACGAGTGCTTGTCCCAGAACCCAGCCTCAGGCTCTGCTAACACCACTTCCTCAGGTAGGTTTCCTGAGCTGTATTTTATCTCTTAGGTGTTGCAAGTACTCGTCACATTTATTTTTAAATATTGGAATTTATGTGCTCCTCTTCCCACAGCCAACCGTAAAATCTATTAAATGGATCAGAGATTAACTTTTCTATCCCTTATCCTCTAGTGCCTGCCTGACACAAAGTCAGGCATCAACAGTGAAATAATGTATTGAAAATAACATACACAAACCCATTTTAGAATTGATTTTAGACACAGGCATATGTTACTACGTGCCTGCAGAAGCACAGCGAAGTTTCTGGCGAAAGAGTACATCCTGGGTTAACCTGTATGCCACTGCTTCCAAAAGAGCATTCTGGTGTGCCACGCCCCTCACCTGCCCACTTTTCTACCAGCCCCTTCTCATTATACCCAGACAACTGGGTGGGAAACCCTGGTGGGTATGTGTGAAGCTCTCTTACAATGCTGCCTAGTACACTGGGGGGAAATTAAACACAATATTGGTGAAGCCACAGAAACCCTATACAGGTGATAAACGTACATTATTCACATAAAGAGTAAGAATATGATAAAGGGGCCATTAGGCTTCTTCATGCTATTACACATTCTTTTTACATTCTTTTGCCTTGATCAATCTTGCCAAAGTTTGTTTCAAAAGAACCATCTTTGATAATCCTCTGTACTGTTTCATTTATTTCCCTGTTGTCTTTATTTTTCTTTTATTATCTGCCCCCTCTTTTTAGAAAAACCTTTTAGACTGAGTATAAAAACTGACGTTCATCTTTTTTCTAATGTAACCAATTAAGGCTACACATTTCTCCTTGTGGAAAGCCACAAATGGTACAAGGAAATAGGCACTGTGGGAACAAAATCTAGGTTTGGGTGGCTCAATTAACTCACCTGATAGTTTTGTACTTCTGGCTTTACTTCCAGAGAAGAACAAAACCATATGCAGCAAAAATTCTCTGCTTTTGTTTTAAAAGGAAATCAGTATGTTTAAAATTAAGGTTTTTTTTAAATGTCTAAAGAGAAAACAAGGTGTTTAATTTATTATTTGGGAATAAATGTAGCAAACTCTGCCATGCTGGGTTCCCCTGGCAGTGATAGGCTTGCACTCTCCTCATGCACAAACTTCTCTCCCATGCCCTCTCCCACCACTGTCCTCACAAACACACATCCATCATGAAGACCCTCGTGAATGAAGCACTGCCTCCCTGACTGCCCTGCCCTCCTTGAAGAGGACAGGTAGCAACAGAGAGGAAGGCTCTAGGTAATTAATACCCCTCCGGACAGAAGACTTGCAAAGCAGGGAAAGGAAAAGAGCAAGTGTCCAGGCTCTGGGGAACTGGTGTGATACTCTGGATGAAAGAACAGTCCATTTTATCCAGGACTTGGCTAAGAGGGATTACTTCTGACAAGAGCAGAGTTCTCAAAAAGCAGCATGCCTGAATGGCAAAGATGAAAGGGCAGAAAGCCCAAGTCTGCTCTTTGGCATCCAGATTCCAGAGAAAACTCCAGTCCCCTAGAAAACACTAGTCCAACTCCTCAGAGGCAACAGGATACCTGTTTGGGAATAGGATCCTTCCTGAACTTCAGAACAAGCAGCTATCCACAGGAACAGAGTCAAAATGCCAGAGTCAAAACCTGCAGACATTTTAAGGAAAAAAAAAATACATGGACAAATAAACATGAAAGAAATGTAAAAAGAGTGTCGGAGAATTAATTCTCCAAATGGCTGTGAATTCAGATAGCATTAGAGGTGAGGCCTTTATATATCATATTCAAGAAAAGGCTAATTCCCATGTCATATAAACCAACCAAAGAGAAATAGAGAGCTTTCAAATTGTCTTATGAAAGCAGAATAATTCAAAACCCAAGACAAAGCTAGCACTAACAAACCACAGACCAAACTCAGTTATAAAAGCAGACACAAAAGTCTTTAACACTATCACTGTTGAACATGACTCTACAGAGTTCTAACCAATTACAAGGCAAGAAAAATCTGAGGCATAAAGAAAAAAAGATCTAAAACTATCATTCACTTATATAAGACTACCCATTCAGATACTGTGAATCAATGCAAAGAAACCTTACAATAATTTAATAAGGAAATCACTTATAACAGACTCCCTAAAAATGTATCAGCAATTATAAATTTTAAAAAATGGGAAGAGAACTCCCATTATAAAGATAAAGATTTAATAAAAGACAACAGCAACCATGTGAATAGAATTACAAATTATAATAATAAAAGGCAATAACTGGAGAGACACAATATAATCATGAGGGATGTATGGATCTGGTGTATCAAAGTTCTAAAACCTCCCCCAAATTAATCTATACTATATGGAACTTCAAAGAATATTAACGTTGGGGAACTTGGTAATGATTCTAAAGTTGACCTGGATCAATATTTTAAAAATTCATATATCAAAAGGCCAACAGACTATACACAACATTTAAAAAATATTTTAACATAATCTCAGGGTAAGAAAGTTCTTTTATAATATGCCTAAAGGCAGAAAGACTACATAAAAATAACAAATGATGGTTTCATTTATACCATCAAAGCCAAAGAAATAGAACAACAAAAAAGATACACTTGTAACTTATGACAAAAAAAAAATGGATTCATTTAGGAATTTAAGTCTCAGTTGACCATATATAGTCGAGTATCCAGTAGTGGCACGAAAAGTAGCATTTACAAACTAGTAAGGAATGTATGCATTACTTTGGTGAATGGTATACAGGAAAACTAGACAATCATTCACTTAGGGGAAAAGGTCATACTATATATAAAAATGCTAAAACTACAATCAAAATCAAATAAAAGATTACTTTTTAGAATTATGTAACAGAGAAGGGCTCTTTGAACCTGACAATAAAATCAGGAGATATAAAGGATAACTTTGACTTCATATATGTCCTTCTTTCCTATGTTAAGTTTCCTTCCCAGTAGGCACGTATTTGAAACATAAAGCACCAATAAGCGAAAACTATATATATAAGAACTGCAGGGTTAAAAAGTTTGATAGGGAATCAACAATTTTTCTAAGACCATATAAATAGGCAAACCTGATCAGAAAGCAGAGGAAAAGCTAGCGAAGAAATTTAAAAAGATGAACTGATTTAAGGAGCAACCTCCCATAAAATTTCCATGAGCAATGAATTTACCATGTTATAAAAACCTTTCCAGAACACAGAAAAGAGATGGAGGACTTTCTATTCATTAATAATATGACCATTTAAATGCCCTTAAGAATCCTATCACAAGGTAGATGCCAAGTTCTACACCAAACATTCACTCATTTCTTTTCTCAAGAAATTCAGGACTAGAGTAAACAAATACTATCTTCATTAAACGTGCTCGTAGATTTTTCTAACCAGGGCAACAAAACAGCCCTTGGTCGGCAAGAGCATTAAAAAATTTTTTAAAAATTTTAACAGGAAAACCTTAAGAAAAGAATCAGACACTAACAACTCCTTCCCACAATGGCAGAGGAAATTCATTTGAGATCTGAGAGTAAAAAAGGGCCTTGAGAACAGAGTAATCATAAAGATGGACTATAAATATGTCTGTACAAAGAAACTGGCATACTCACATAGTGCTTGTGGCAGTGTAGATTCTATGGAGGGCAATTTGGATAACTTATCAAAATTTTAAATGTACATACCTTGTCCTATAAATTCTATTTCCATGAATTTATCCCAGAGATATGTAATGACATATGTGCAAAATATATTCATTGAAGCATTGCTGACAATGCACAAAATATGGTACATATTCATGTAATGATTATGAAACCTTTTAAAATAATAAGGCAATTGTAAATAAACGGATATGAGATGATCTCTAAGGTAGTTAAGTGCAAAATGGGACACGACAATGTGTATAGCATTCTAAGAAACTATAAAAACAGATGCATTTACTTAAACAATTTCTGTAAGGATATGTATGAGACTATTAATAGTGATTAACAGTGATTGCCTCTGGGGAAGGGAACTGGGGGCCAGGGAGAGAATGGAAACTTACTTTTTCACTGTATATTCTTTTGTTTTTTGTTTTTATTTATTTATTTTTACCATGAGCATGTATTACCTAGTCAAAAAAATAAATTCAAAGTTAAAACAATAAACAAAAGCACTAGTAGAGGCCTTAGAGACTGTGTGGCCCACTGAGTGGGTGCACACAACACTGACACCTTAACACTGAGGGGGTCTTCTCCCTTCCCCTGTCCATCCCACCCTGCTGGAGTCCAAGG